GACAATTGTTACACACAAAACATTTAAATGAGGAAGAAAGGAAAGCGATACAGAAAATATGCAAAGAATATAGCGACGTGTTTTATTTAAGCGGAGAACCACTGTCATGTTCAGCAACGCTAAAACACGAGATAAGCACGCGCGCCGATACCTCACCCGTCAATGTGAGACCGTATCGCCTTCCCGAGGAACACAAATCAGAAGTGAACAAACAAGTACAGGAAATGCTAAAAGACGGAATTATTAGTACAAGCATTAGCCAGTGGAATGCACCGTTATTAGTAGTGCCAAAAAGGCTGACGCAACAGGCAAACCGCGATTAAGAGTAGTAGTCGATTTCCGGAAGTTAAATGAATTAACTATAGGCGATTCATTCCCACTGCCAAATATTACCGATATTTTGGATCAGCTGGGAAACGCGAAGTATTTTACGACGCTCGACCTCGCATCTGGATATCACCAGATACCGATGGCCAAGCGCGACAAAAATAAAACAGCCTTCTCGACTCCCTACGGACACTACGAGTTTAATAGAATGCCGTTTGGACTTAAAAACGCGCCTGCGACTTTCCAATGACTTATGAACTCAGTGCTAACCGGGATACAAGGGCTCCGATGTCTCGTTTATCTCGACGACAGATGAGTGTGGTAAAAAATCTGCTAATAGCAGATTTTTGAGATCATTGGAAGGCGATTTTTCCTTAGCGAAAATGTCCAGCCATCAATAATTTTCGAGTTACATGTATAAACAATTGAAAATTTTCGCAATTTAAATTAAGTTAAAAAATTATCAAAATTACATGCTTTATTAGTTAATTTAAGATAGAGTTTATTATATAATAGAATTTTAATTTAAAGTTTAATTATAGAGATATATGATGATAAAAATTAGAAATCTGTAAAACATGATCTCTTAACATTTTCGCTGAGGAAAAATCATCTTCAAATGATCTCAAAAATCTGCCATTAGCAGATTTTTCACCAATTATAGGACACCTTGTGTTCGAAAATCGAACGTCTAAAAAAGCTGAAAGAAAAAACAATTAAAACATTGCATGTAAATTCATGCCGTACTCTCATTTCACATGCAGCATGCGTTTAATTTATATTATAATACAGTCTATTAATTTCTATCTTAACATGCTGACGTTTCATATTATAAATAGCGCTCGGCCGCAAAGGTATAAGTATACCCGGCACCTACAAAAAAATAAGCGCTTACATTAAAACACATTAAATTGTAAACACCGCGGTTGCGCGAGAGGAGATACAATTTAGTTCCCAATAATAACAAAACTACGATTTGCTGGAAAGTAAATAATTACAGTAAACGCTCTTTCGCCCTCAACCGAACGATAGAATAAGAAAAATGTTCGCGAATATTCTAGAAATACAGGCCTATATAAACCTCCTCTCTCGTGACCGCGGCGCTCTTTTCCGATTGCTTGTCGCGTCAAGAGTGTGCTTCTACTTTACGAAAAAGATCGCTTGTCTTTTTCACGTTTAATTACCGTTGCTTGCGGACACTCAGTACTTTATTTTCAACACGGCTTTTCTCTCGGTTATTGTACTTTCTAATACGTTCGACTCGGCTATCTTTTGGTACATTCTGTGCGGTTTAAATAATTGTATTTTTGTGTTAATAGTTTAAATATATTTTAATATAAATTTAACATATATAAGATAGGCAATAAGAGCCAAATCGCGGATGACAGTGCGTTATTCTAAACGAAACTAAATTTTTTCGTTAGAATTAAATACCTGTGCACAAGGCACCAAATTTTTACTTGGACACGGCCAAGATATAAAATTGGAATAATCTCTAGAAGATATTTTTAATTCCATGTATCCCCTATTCCCCCTAAAGAAATAAAGTGCGAGAGAAAAATATAGATCCGAAAGTCGCAGAATCGGGAATCGAACCCGAGACCTTTCGCTTGCCGGGCGACTGCTCTTCCAACTGAGCTATTCAGATCCTTTCGATTCTATACTTTTCTCTGTTATATATATTAATGTTGGTAAATAAACGCCTTTAAGCCAGCGTGTATAAATTGAGAGTTTAACTAGGCTCTGTAATATATAAATATAAATTTAACATATATAAGATAGGCAATAAGAGCCAAATCGCGGATGACAGTGCGTTATTCTAAACGAAACTAAATTTTTTCGTTAGAATTAAATACCTGTGCACAAGGCACCAAATTTTTACTTGGACACGGCCAAGATATAAAATTGGAATAATCTCTACAAGAGATTTTTAATTCCATGTATCCCCTATTCCCCCTAAAGAAATAAAGTGCGAGAGAAAAATATAGATCCGAAAGTCGCAGAATCGGGAATCGAACCCGAGACCTTTCGCTTGCCGGGCGACTGCTCTTCCAACTGAGCTATTCAGATCCTTTCGATTCTATACTTTTCTCTGTTATATATATTAATGTTGGTAAATAAACGCCTTTAAGCCAGCGTGTATAAATTAAGAGTTTAACTAGGCTCTGTAATATATAAATATAAATTTAACATATATAAGATAGGCAATAAGAGCCAAATCGCGGATGACAGTGCGTTATTCTAAACGAAACTAAATTTTTTCGTTAGAATTAAATACCTGTGCACAAGGCACCAAATTTTTACTTGGACACGGCCAAGATATAAAATTGGAATAATCTCTAGAAGATATTTTTAATTCCATGTATCCCCTATTCCCCCTAAAGAAATAAAGTGCGAGAGAAAAATATAGACCCGAAAGTCGCAGAATCGGGAATCGAACCCGAGACCTTTCGCTTGCCGGGCGACTGCTCTTCCAACTGAGCTATTCAGATCCTTTCGATTCTATACTTTTCTCTGTTATATATATTAATGTTGGTAAATAAACGCCTTTAAGCCAGCGTGTATAAATTAAGAGTTTAACTAGGCTCTGTAATATATAAATTTCTAGGCTCTTATTGCCTATCTTATATATGTTAAATTTATATTTATATATTACAGAGCCTAGTTAAACTCTTAATTTATACACGCTGGCTTAAAGGCGTTTATTTACCAACATTAATATATATAACAGAGAAAAGTATAGAATCGAAAGGATCTGAATAGCTCAGTTGGAAGAGCAGTCGCCCGGCAAGCGAAAGGTCTCGGGTTCGATTCCCGATTCTGCGACTTTCGGATCTATATTTTTCTCTCGCACTTTATTTCTTTAGGGGGAATAGGGGATACATGGAATTAAAAATCTCTTGTAGAGATTATTCCAATTTTATATCTTGGCCGTGTCCAAGTAAAAATTTGGTGCCTTGTGCACAGGTATTTAATTCTAACGAAAAAATTTAGTTTCGTTTAGAATAACGCACTGTCATCCGCGATTTGGCTCTTATTGCCTATCTTATATATGTTAAATTTATATTTAAATATATTTTGTTAACGATACGCGTGTGTCGAGTGCAGTGCTTCTCTGTCTTCTCGCTTCCGACCTCCCTATCCTGCTTTCCGTCGCGCACATTATTTGGTCCTTGGAGCCGGATCCACTAGAACCTTCTGTGAATCCGGTGCCACGGAAGCGATAGTGAATCAGTGTCGGTGACCAGTACTTCTGGAAAAAAGAGACAGTGTCAGAGATGGCAGACACAAAGGCGATCATTGCTACCGCCACAGTGCTATACGGCAAGATCTCGCGCGCGTACGAGAATCGTCGGAAGCTCGGCAAGGCCAATATCACACTCGGCGCGGTGGAGGCTCGGCTTCAAAATCTCGAGAAGCTGTGGAAGAAATTTGACGCAATTAATGATGCCTTAGCCGATCGTGTTGAAGAGATACGACACGATGTCTACGCCAAGCAAGACATCCCTTCATTGGGCAAGGAGGCTTACCTTCAGAACAAGGGCCTTATGCTCGATCTGAAGAGCGCTCTCCAACGATAAGATCAGACATCCAGCTCAATTTCGGCAGCGACACCGGCCGCCGCTCCTCGGACCGCATTGCCAAAAATTCAGCCGCCGACCTTCGCCGGGAAGTACGAAGACTGGCCTTCCTTTCGAGACCTCTTCCAGTTTATCATTGGCAGGAACCAGGCAGCCAGACCTGTTGAGAAATTACATTATCTCAAACTCTGTGTCAAGGGTGATGCTGACCTACTCATACGTAACCTCAGCACTACTGATGAAAATTACGAAATCGCTTAGAAGACGCTGAGCGATTTTTACGAGAATAAAAGATTGTTAACACGCAACTATCTTAACAACTTCCTGGCGCTTACTACAATAAAATGAAGAGCGAATCCGCAACTGAATTGGGGCGACTCTTCCACAGCATAAAAACCACAGTCAGCTCGCTGAAGAGCATCGATCGTCCCATCGATCGCACGGAGGACCTCTTTGTGCATCTAGTCATTGAGCTTCTCGACAATCGTTCGCGTCGAGAATGGGAGAGCGACATCAGTCATACGACGAATCCGCCTACCTACGCCGAGCTGGAAGCCTTTATCGAGCGACGGCTTCATACTTTGGAGGCGCTGTTTCCGGCCAAGAGCGACAGCCGCAGCCACATCAATGCGAAATCGACACGGAGCCATCACGTGAAGAAAACGGAACCGAAGGATAAGTCAAGAAGCCGGTGCGCCGTATGCCAGGGCGACCACTTTATTATGTTTTGTGGCACCTACAAAGAGAAGACGACTCTGGCTCGCAGGCAGTTTGTCAGCGATCAAAACTTCTGTTCGAACTGCCTGGGTCGACACCAGCTGACTGAGTGCGCGTCAAAAAAAGACTTGCACCACGTGTGGCAGTCAGCATCACTCTTCGCTGCACGATGCCTTCCGCGACGCCGAGACCGCCACAACATCACATGTAGCTCAAGGATCGCACCCCGCCTCTGTCACGGTGCTGTTCGCCACTGCTCGAGTCCGCGTCCTCGATTGCCACGGATTCTGGCATTCCGCCTGAGCGCTGATCGACCAGGGCTCAGAGTCGTCCATCATAACGGAGCGGTTGGTTCAGCGACTGCGACTGCCTCGCATGCCCGCCGCCGTCAGCGTCTATGGACTCGGCGAGAAACGGACGGGAATTGCCAAAGGCAAGGTAAAGCTTACCTTTCGAGCGCACAACGGTAAGTCGTCCAACTCCGTCGCCGCCTTGATCTTGCCGAAACTCACGCTCTTCTCCGAAGGATGCCGCCGAAGTCTGCAATCCTGGACACAACTAAAGGACCTGGAGCTCGCCGATCCAGAGTTCAGTTCCGCGGATCCAATAGACCTTCTGCTGGGTACCGACGTCTACGGAGTAATTATCCGCCAGGGCCTGAAAAAGGGAAGTCCTCAGGAACCGGTGGCACAACAGACCTCTCTAGGATGGATACTGTCAGGCACCATCAATGAGAATGCACGTGGCCAACGTATTTCCTCCCACCATTGCCAGGTGGAGGAAGACCTCACCTGTTTGGTGCGTCGCTTCTGGGAGCAAAAAGAAGTTCGCCGGCCGTCTCAGCTCTTCTCTAAGGCCGAACTAAAGTGCAAAGAGCACTATTGCCTGCACTATTCACGCACTGCCGACGGCTGGTACATTGTGCGTCTGCCCACGATTAAGCCTCTGCCGGACCTAGCAGGAACAGTTCGCTCCGCCCGCCATGCTCTGCAACACACGGAGAAGAAATTTGAGAGAGACAACGAATTTCGAACCATGTACGCGGAATTCATGCGACAATACTTGGACCTGCGCCACATAATGCCTGCTCCTTCGTCGACGGAATCGCATCCGGATGCTTGCTACCTGCCGCACCACGGGGTCTTGCGTCCGGACAGCACATCCACAAAACTGAGGGTCGTCTTCAACGGCTCGAGCTCCTTGCCAAACGGAGACTCCCTCAACAAATATCTCGCAACGGGACTGAATTTGCTTCCTTCACTGGCCGACATCCTGCTGCGTTGGCGACGTCATCGCTACGTCTTCGCGACCGACATCGAGAAGATATATAGGCAGATCCTGGTGCACCCTGACGACCAAAGCCTGCAAAGGATATTGTGGAGACAGAACGCTAACGACGAAATCAAGGAGTACTGGCTGGATACTGTTACTTACGGTCTATCCTGTGCTCCTTATCTGGCAATCCGCACTTTACGCCAACTGGCCGAGGACGAAGGACATTGTTACCCGAAAGGAGCCATCATTCTGCTGAGCGACGTCTACATGGACGACATCCTGACCGGTGCGGAGACCATGAAGGAAGCCGAAGTCATGCTACAACAGCTGATTGATATCTGCAAGGCGGGCGGCTTCTCGCTTAAGAAGTGGTCGGCAAACCACTCGCTACTGCTGAACCAAGTGGGACCCGACGACCGCCTTCAACGAAAGGCCAGATGGTGGCTGCCCGGCGAGAATCACTCCACTCTCGGGTTACGCTGGCAACCCCGGGACGATCGCTTCGCCTTCGTCACCAAACGGATCAATCTATCGACCATCACCAAAAGGTCGGTACTTTCACTGACAGCAAAGATGTTAGACTCTCTCGGCTGGCTGTCCCCAACAACAGTACTGGCTAAAATCTTCATCCAGTCTACCTGGTTGCTAGGCCTCGATTGGGACCCCCCCCCCCGTCGACCACCACCTTGCCGTGGTAGGGGGGCTCACCCCTTGCAAGGGATTAACCTTGCGAGGGGTGCTAAGAGTGGTCGGTACCTCCTATGGAGGTACACCTGGCCTGGTGGGGCCATAATACTTCGGCCCGCCACCCTTGGAAGGCCACCAAGTAAAAAAACCAAACCAAGCAACATGGGAAGGAGCAAAAACAGAAAGATCACTACCGGCCCAGGGGTTTCGGATGCTCCAGGGCCCGGCGGGGAGGGGGGTATAGTCCCGGCCTCCACCCCGTCGTCATCGAACGACGGGCGTGAGGTAGGAGGAGGAAGGGGCGATGCCCCTATGGAGATGGATCCGGTAGTACCGGATGCCTTTAAACCGGAGATATTGCCGGGATTGACTTGGGAGGAGTTTGCTCCGGGAGGGGAAGAGGCTTATGCCGGGACCCCTGCCGCGGGCCCTCTTCACAAGTCGATATAGGGGCTGAATGCGGTGAGGTGGGACACCAAGTCCTTCCTGGATGGCTGCATTCGGAGTGTAGAGGAGGGAGGACTCTCAGAAGAGATGATGGCGCACATAAACGGCTACGTCGGGTCGGTGCTAAATATAGCATGCGGACTCGGGCGGGCCGTTTCAGGTCTTGTGCGGATCGTGTGCGACCAGCCCGGAGGGAACAGCGCAGACGTGGCCCCCGATCGCGGGGGGGGGCCGCGATACGGGGACCACGATGGAGAAGGACCCTGGGACGTCTGCCGGGGCGGCGCCTTTGCCGGGGGAGTTGGTGGTCAGGCTCGAGGACATGTCCTTGAGATTGGCTGCCAACTCGGACCGGTTGGCGCTGATGAAAAGGCGTCTCAGGGAGGTTGAGTCCAGACGGGCAGGAGCGGCTCGGGGGACTCGACGGTTGCTTGGAGGGGAGGAGGGAGAGGAGATGATGACGGGGACAGAGAGCGGAGAGGAGACTACCGTCGGTTGGGCGACGGTAGTAAAGAGGGGGACGAGGAGGAAGAAAGAGGGGAGTGTAGGAGAAGGAGTAGGGGGAAGGAGAGTGGCGGCTGCCGGGGGCAGCAGGGGAAGAGGAGCAGTTGGCGGCGGAGTGACCGTCGCCAATGTGATGGGGGCGCCGAGGTGCTACCGGTGTCTGTGTGTTGGACACACGTGGCGCCGGTGCACCTCGGCGGTGGACAGGGGTAGCTGCTGCTACCGCTGCGGCTCCCCTGGCCACAAGGAGGTGGGGTGCCTGTCCGGCCTGAGGTGTCCACTTTGCGTGGACTTCCAACGGCCGGCCAGGCACCGACTCGGGGGCCCGGGGTGCTTGACGGCACCCCCGGCGGGGTCAAGAGGAGGGGGCACGCCTCCCCCCTCCCCGTCGTCGTCGGCAGTCGTGCCCAAGGGCGCGGCTGTCGGCGGCGGCGGGGGTGGGGAGGCGCGCCACATGCCGGCGTCGTTGGTTGATGCCGGATGAGGGTGTCGGGGGAGACATGGGAGCGCTTAGGCGCTCCCCTCCCCCCCACACCCTCCGGGAGGGAGGGGCCCCACCGGTTGCGGGTAAACTCTGACCCCTAGGGGCGGAGGGAGGTCGCAATTGTGGGGGTCAGGAATGAGGGGGGGCCACGTGTCTCTGGCGGGCGGGCATTGCCCTCCCGTCCGGGGCGCCTGGGCCCCTCTCAGGGACGGAGACGTGACGTGTGGGGCCCTCTCACCGGGAGCCACAGGCACCGGTGGGAGGGCAACACCGTCCACGGAAGGGGGTTCCTCTCCTTCTGAGAGGAGCCTCCTGATAAGGGCCCCTTCAGTAAACCGCCGAACCGGACCACCCTCTTGGTGGTCCGGGGGTTGCGACACTGGGGGGGCGAGGGGCGATGGCTCCAGCGGGAGTTCTCGAGCCATGGCTCCGCCCCTTAAACTTTTTGAGAGGGCGCGGCGTGGGGTCGATGTCGCCCTGCGCCGCAACCGCGAGGCACCCGTACAATGACGGGGGGAGGGTGTCGCCTTCTGCGGCATCCTCCCAAGGAGGGATAAGGCGGGAGGGCGGCCAGTCGGCATGGACTACCAGCATCTTGGCCGTCCCCTGTATAACGCCCGTGAAGGACATCCTCTGAGGTTTTAGTGCGGTAGGTCCTGTCCCGGCTCTCCGGCTCGTCGATCCCGACTCTCCGGTCCGCTACGGCGGACCGGCCAGGCGGAGGCGCGGGCCGGCCAGACGGGGCAGGGAGTCCCACATAACCCCCGCCTCTACCCGGAGGCGGACGGTACCATGAGGTTTCCCCAGAGTCAAAAAAAAAAAAAAAAGGCCTCGATTGGGACGCTCCGCTGCCAATCGACGAAGAGAGAAGATGGCTACAATTCCAGAGCGAGCTGCCTGCTCTGGAAAACTTGCTCGTACCTCGATGGCTGGGAGGCTTGGCTGACTCACAGCGGGAGATCCACGTTCGCCGATGCCTCAGAGCGTGCCTACTCAGCTGTGCTATACCTGAAGACCAAAACAAAGGATATTACTAAGGTGGCTTTCTTAGCTGCGAAAACCAAGGTCGCGTCCTTGAAGCAAGTCTCCTTACCTCGGTTGGAGCTGTCTGCCGCCACTCTTCTGGCTCGTCTAGCCGCCCACATCGTACCGATCATCGGAGCAGACAAAGCACCTCTTCATATGTGGTCTGATTCCACCGTCACGCTCGGCTGGATCCGTGGGCATCCCTCGACGTGGGCCATTTATGTGGCTAACCGGGTCAGCAAAATACAAACACTGATCCTGGACCCACTGGCATCACGTACCAGGTCGGAAAAACCCAGCGGACTGTGTTTCCCGGGGGCTCTATCCTAGCGAGCTGGTTGACCACCCGCTTTGGTGGCAAGGTCCCGTATGGCTAGCAGCGGAGAGCAATCCTTGGACGACCAACAGCGAGAAGATGTCAGCAGAAGACCTCCCAGAGAGACGAGTCCGTGCTCACGTCGCCGCCGTTGCCTCAGCTGACCTTGTGCTCCCTGCGCCAGGAGTATTGGGTCCCTCGAGATCGCTCGCTGGTGAAGAGACACATCAGCCGATGCAGTAGGTGCACAAGATAGCGAGCCGCCATCCCACAGCTTCTCATGGACGATCTCCTGGTGCCAAGGGTCACGCCAAGCAGGCCGTTTCTGCACACCGGCATCGACTACGCCGGACCTGTTTGGCTGCGAACGTCAAAGGGCCGCGGACACAAAACAACTAAAGGGTTCATTGTAGTTTTTGTCTGTTTAGCTTCCAGAGCCGTTCACCTCGACGCAGCCTCGAACTACTCCGCCGACGCCTTCATAGCCGCCTTGCGCCGACTCATCTCCAGGCGAGGTGTCTGCGCCTCCTTGTATAGTGACTGCGGTACCAATTTTGTGGGTGCTGACAGGCAGCTTGGCGCTCTCTTCTCTGCCGCCAGTGCCGACGGACACCGCATCGCCGCATTCGCCGCACAGGAGAAAATCCGGTGGCACTTCAATCCACCGACGGCACCAAACTTCGGCGGCTTATGTATCGCCGTCAAATCTATGAAGCACTATCTGCGACGAATCATAGGTGATGCAACCCTCACCTATGAGGAGCTGGCGACGCTGCTCTCTCAGATAAAAGTTTGCCTCAATTCTCGACCTCTGCAGCCCTTGTCCGACGACCCGGAGGACGTAGCAGCTCTTATCCCAGGTCACTTCCTGATCGGTTCCGCTCTCTCCGCCGTACCTGAACCGTCGCTCGAACGAGAGCCGTCGGCCCGGCTTTCACGCTGGCAGCTTCTGCAACAGATGAGGGACCATTCCTGGTCCCGGTGGGCCAGCGAATACTTACACACGCTGGCCCATTGGCCAAAATAGTCCCGAGTCAACCAGGAGGCTCGCGTCGGTCGGCTGTGTTTGCTCCGCAGCGAAAACACTCCACCAACGCGGTGGCCGCTTGCGTAAATCACTCGATTGCACCCCGGATCCGACGGCCACGTGCGCGTAGTCGAAATCCGTACCGCGAGTACGAATTTAACGCGCCCCGTCAGCAAACTGATTTTTCTAGGCGACGGCAACAAAACTGCACAATAATTCAGCGTCATAAATCTCACTCTTTTCTCATCGCAGCACAAAAATCATCTCTTCTTTGTCACTGCTCTATTCATTCCTCTTCATCGTCACTTCACTTACATCACACTGACCTACTGTTATCTCCTTTATCACTGTACTATCCTCATCATTACACTATTCGTATCATTATAATTCACGAGAGATCCGAATACCGAAATTGTCACGGTCTTTGCGACGCGTTAACCAATATGCGTCTATACCGTCACGTTCGGAATAAACAGTTGATCGATTCAGCATTCCTTTCGCGACATCAGTCGAAGCACGTGAGCTACACGTGTCTGTCACTCGCGAGCGCGTGAATAAGCGCGCGCCCCCACTCTCGCACTACAAAGTCGATTGCAGGTATACTGCAAGGCGGGCGGAATGTTCGAAAATCGAACGTCTAAAAAAGCTGAAAAAAAAACAATTAAAACATTGCATGCAAATTCATGCCGTACTCTCATTTCACATGCAGCATGCGTTTAATTTATATTATAATACAGTCTATCAATTTCTATCTTAACATGCTGACGTTTCATATTATAAATAGCGCTCGGCCGCAAAGGTATAAGTATACCCCGCGCCTACGAAAAATAAGCGCTTACATTAAAACACATTAAATTGTAAACACCGCAGTCGCGCGAGAGGAGATACAATTTAGTTCCCAATAATAACAAAACTACGATTTGCTGGAAAGTAAATAATTACAGTAAACGCTCTTTCGCCCTCAACCGAACGATAGAATAAGAAAAATGTTCGCGAATATTCTAGAAATACAGGCCTATATAAACCTCCTCTCTCGTGACCGCGGCGCTCTTCTCCGATTGCTTGTCGCGTCAAGAGTGTGCTTCTACTTTACGAAAAAGATCGCTTGTCTTTTTCACGTTTAATTACCGTTGCTTGCGGACACTCAGTACTTTATTTTCAACACGGCTTTTTTCTCGATTATTGTACTTTCTAATACGTTCGACTCGGCTATCTTTTGGTACAATCTGTGCGGTTTAAATAATTGTATTTTTGTGTTAATAGTTTAAATATATTTTGTTAACGATACGCGTGTGTCGAGTGCAGTGCTTCTCTGTCTTCTCGCTTCCGACCTCCCTATCCTGCTTTCCGTTGCGCACACCTTGTATATTTGAGATATTAAAATAAAAATAAAATAAAATATTAATCAAAAAAACAAAAAAAATGGAATTAATTATTTGGAAAAAATAAAATTTACATTTGTAACAAAAGAACTTAAAATTGAAAATAAAAAAAAGTTATTTTAACACAAATTGCTATCGACATTGCACATCAGTTTGTACCATATTGCTAAAACAGTTATTAACGCAGAGTTATATAACGCAAAAGACCAGCAATTATTAGCCAAAAATCATTAAACTATCTATTGGAACATTACCAGAAAAGTTTTGTGCGGAAGACTAATAATTATTGTATTAAATATATAAATATGTATATAAAGACAAACATTAAATATTTATCGGTATTTGCTTTTGTAGGCTGTTGTGTGCCTCGGGTGAGACACAAGGGGTCGCGCCAAATTAGGATAAGGATCCGGGGCGTCGGGACTTATTTCGGGTTATTGAAATAAACGCACTCCACTTTTTATTATTAAAACTTTTATTCAAGTAAACCGCTTGACTTTTATTTGTTTGTTTCAGCACTGTTACACATGTGCGTGTATTGGTTTAACGACACTGTTTAACTATAACTTCGCGTATCGCGCGCAACTGCGAAGGAATGTTATATATCGCACGCGGCTAGCAAGGTCGTTTAACTAACAACGCGAGAGCGTCTTGAGAGCGACTATATGCGACTGAGCAATTCGGCGCATCTCTGCTTCCTTTTTATAATATCGCTTTTTGAGATTTCCTTGATCGGAAGGGGTACCTAGCAACGGGCCTCTTCGGTCAAGGACCTAGGTGCAAGCGAAGCAGATTCAAAGTCCTTCTGCTTTGTTTGCATGTTGAGCAATTTCGGTTCGCGCATATCTCGCAGCGTATGCGTTTTTACGCAGTCAGTGTCCGTCGTCAAGCGGATGTAACACGAGTAGCTATTTCTTAATAGTTATATCTTTGAGGGATATAACAAGGCGTTCGCGTGTGCTAGCCATATATTTATGGGATTAGAAATTTGTTCGTCTGTAGCATTCTTGTGTACTTTTCTTATTACACTTAAAAAAACATTTTAAAAAATAATTTTTTATTAATAACATTGAAAAGAAATATATTTTAGATTTAATTTGTTAGAATAATTAAAATATAAAACTTTATAAAAAATATTAATAAGAATATTTGTCAGTCAGCTCTCCTATTTTTAAAAAACTCCATCTTCATCTCGACTAAGAGCCAAACGCGATGTTATTGCGACAAATTAATATTTAGAAATTTTTGGAAACTGAGGAATTTGAATCCTATGGTTGGGATCTCAGAAATTCCCCTTGTTCCTTCTCTTAACATCCCCTGTAAGAAAAAGACGAGAAAAATATTGGTCCGAAAGTCGGCTGAATCGGGAATCGAACCCGAGACCTTCCGCTTGCCGGGCGACTGCTCTTCCAGCTGAGCTATTCAGACACTTACAAATCAATATTTCTCTCAATGTTTATAACCCCCCACCCCCCACCAAGGCGTCGTACCTGGTCTAAACGCAACAAACATTAATAAGAATATTTGTCAGTCAGCTCTCCTATTTTTAAAAATGAATGATGGAGTTTTTTATAAAAAATCTTTAAAAATGTTCAACTTTTATATATTTCTTTTGCTTCATTAAATAAAATAAATAATATTAAATATTATTAAAATGATATTTGTATGTGAATAATATTATCTTTATTCAACTTATAAAATAATTTTAATTAATTTAACAGTAATACAAAAAATACAAGTAATATAAATTTATATTCATAAATACTTTCTATTATTTATTACTTACACATGATTATTTTGCAGATATTTAGCTGCGAAAAAATTTCTTTTTTTTTGCTCCATACCAACTGTATTGCACTACTAATTCATTAGAAAACAATTTCTTCATTATCCGTAAAGAAGAAGTTTTTACATCTTGACTTGTCACATGAGTCAATTGTTTGATCTAAAATTATGAAAAGTTGCGTTATAAAAATTTTACAAAAGATTATATTTGTATAACAATGTATTAATGTGGAATATATTTGTAAAATATTTTTTAAAGTATTCTATATAAAATTACTTTGTACATTAATATAAAATTTATTCTAAGTAATTATTTGTTAAAATATGTAAAAAACGAGACAATACAGAGACTATATGCGGTTGGTAGTGCGTGAGTTTCGTTGAAATTTAAGATTTTTACGAAACTTAATTTTATGTACACACAAGGCACCGGTGTTTCTTAGATATACAAAAACTAAACGCAATTCGCGATCTCAATTTGAGATTCTAATGAACAAACGAAACTCGTTAGGTTTCGTTCGTTCGTTAGAATCTCGAATCGAGATCGCAAATCGCGTTTAGTTTTGGTATATCCAAGAAACTCCGGTGCTCTGTGCACTTAAATTTTTTAACCTTATATACTAATTGTTTTATTTCATCTATTTTTTTTCAATTAATCGTACAATATGTATATATTTATTTTTTCTCTTTGGTATTGTTCCTTACTTGAATGACTTCTTCTCCCTTTATCTCATCATTATCCTCATTTAGATTCGTTCCAAATAATTGTTCCGAGAGTATATCGGACTTATCATTAACATCATCTTCATCATCTACATAATCTTCATCATTTATGTCATTATTTACATCATCTTTATCATCTGCATGTATCTTTTTAGATGTACTAGGTTTAGGTATATCTAAAAAAATTATTTTATTGATATATTTAAATGTAATTTTAATATTGTAACCAAAAATATTATTGTTCAGGAATAAGCCTAATCCTAAAGTATAGGTCGTTCAATTTTCCGTTTATGTTATCGTTCGACATCTCAGTAATTATTCGCGCCAACGCGGGACAACACGTCAAACGCACATGTGATCCACGTGTTACTCGCCTGTCTTTCCTTTGCTCGACGCGAATCGCCTGCGCAAATCCCCAAAAATTCTCGCTTCGCGCCTTGGCTACGTGTCTCGGATCATTATTGAGCGTCCAGCCACGAGACGAGATAGATCAATACACCTTTTGTCGAAATATCGTCCGCCTCGTTTCTAACACTCTTGTTATAATTTGTGATTTGAATAATAAAAGGATATTTAAACGAATCCGCGAGTGACCAATAAAGAAAACTACCGCCTTGGCGTGCGAATCTTCTATACAAGGTTTTACCAACGAGATCCAAACATTCTGGTCCTTCGAGCCGGATCGTCGCCAAGGATAATTATTGGCATTCCGAATCACGATCGTCGATATGAACACCTCGACATCTTTCGAAGAGCTTTTGGCTCTGCAAACACAGAAGATGAGTTTCGTATCACGGGCGCTCATCAATTACAAGAAGCTGGGGCAAGCCAAAATGACACCTGCGGTGACACGTCAACGTCTCGTCACTTTGAAGGAAGCCTTTGCCACTTGCCAGGAGCTCGACAGTCGAATCGGGCTTCATGCGGACGATGACGACAAAGCATCGCATACCTACTTCACAAAGAATTCGTTTCTGGAATGTGAGGACTGCTACAACGAGGCTGCCGACTACATGGCTGAGGTATTAGAGAGCTACGAATCCCGCATCCCTCCCGCTACATCATCACAAAACGTAAGTGGCTTGCATGATGTTTTCCGATCCGCGTCGCATCTTCCGAGGATCAACCTACCGACCTTCGACGGGAGCATCGACAAGTGGGAAAGCTTTCGCGATAAATTCCAATCGATGATTCATAACGATCATAGTTTGTCAAATGTCGATCGCTTACATTATTTATGCTCATGTGTAAAAGGGGATGCAAGTAACGCGCTTGACCACCTCGCGGTAACCAATAATAATTTCGACGTCGCGTGGAGAATTCTAGTCTCTCGGTACGACAACAAACGTCGTCTTGTTACAACGCATTTACAATCGCTGTTAAATTTGCCGTTGCTGACCACAGAAACCGCTCATGACCTTCGTCAGCTTCGCGACCAAACAAACAAAGCAATCCAAGCGCTTAGAAATCTCAACCGTCCTGTCGAACATTGGGATGATTTGCTTGTTTTGCTCGTCGCACAAAAACTCGATAAATACTCGCGTAAAGCTTGGGAACTCAAGCTCGGCGATACGGTGGAATATCCGCGTTATAATGAGCTCGATCAATTTCTTGAGTCTCGAATTCGCGCTCTCGAGGCGATCGTACCACATTCTAAAGAAAAGCCATCCTCTACCTCTAAAGGAAAAATTCTTGTGTCGCATACCGCGTCCACCGTTTCGTTCGCATGTCCGTTGTGCAAGGCCAATCACTCATTATACCAATGTTCGACATTTTTAAAGCAAACACCCTCTCAACGTTTCGATTTTATTAAGCAGCAAAAACGATGTTTAAACTGTTTTAGTAGTAAGCATTCCGTCAAAGATTGTTCGAATTCGCGCGTATGCCGCCAGTGTAATAAACGTCATCACACGTTATTACATTTCGATAACTCGACTCCGCCGGTGCAAACGGAGTGACCGCCAGCAACAAGCGCAAATGTAAACGAAGTCATGTCGCATTTACTATCGAAAACCGTCGCGCCTAATTCTAATATTTTGCTTGCGACTGCCCGGGTTAGAGTCTACTCGCCTGTTGGACGTTTTATAACTGCACGCGCACTTCTGGGTCAAGGTTCCGTTTCTACGTTTATTACCGAATCGCTCGCGCAACGTTTACGACTCTCTAAAATAAATCGTTCGATTTTCGTCACCGGCATCAGCGAGATGCAATCCGTTGTCCGTCACGCCGCTCATCTTACAATTACGCCGGCGAATCGCGACGAACCCGCTTATTCAACGACCGCACTCATTCTTCGATTGTTGACAAAATATGTACCGAAGCGAATAAGCACGACGGGTACGTGGAACCATGTCGACGGACTCCAATTAGCGGATAGTGATCCCATAAGTACCGACCCGATTGATATGATAATCGGAGCGGATTTATACGGCATCGTACTCGATGGTGTTCGACAAAGTTCCGAAACGGAGCCCACCGCGCAAAATACTACTCTCGGTTGGATTTTGTCCGGGCCAATCGCTTCGTCCCCGACCAATCTTTCGATTTCTGAGACCGCGCATCACGGAGTCGTCCTTGAAGCGTTAAATTTCGACCTTCGTCGTTTCTGGGAGACTGAAGAGGTCCCTCAGACCTAACACCATAACCCTGACGAGCGCAAGTGTGAAGAGCACTTTCTCGCTACCCATTCCCGCACTCCTCAAGGACGCTATATTGTTAGATTACCGTTTAAAACCGGACCACCACTCTCGTTAGGAGAATCTCGCTTCATTGCCGAATCGAGCCTCTATCGTTTAGAGCAACGTTTCAAACGCAATTCATCTATCGCTTCAGAATACCACGACTTTCTCACGGAATACGAAAACCTTGGTCATATGATCAAAATTCCACCGACAGAAATTGTCCAACCGGATCAAAGTTATTACATACCGCATCATGCTGTCTTACGTGACAGTAGTGCAACTACTCGACTGCGGGTTGTTTTTAATGCATCCTGCCGTACCACTAACGGAACCTCGTTAAACGATAATATGTTTATCGGACCTAAACTTCAAAAGGATTTTCTTTCAAAGGCCGCTGTCATAATGCAGTGGCGCCAATATCGTTACGTATTTACCGCCGATATCGCCAAAATGTATCGTCAAATTTTAGTTGACTTCCGCGATACTGATTACCAGCGCATTCTATGGCGCTTTTCTCCCAGCGAACCTGTTCGCGACTACCGTCTTCTTACCGTGACGTACGGCACTGCCGCCGCTCCGTATCTCGCTCTTCGAGTGCTAGACCAACTCGCTGAAGATGACGGCGCTCAATTTCCGTTGGCCGTCCCTGTTCTACGTCATCGAACATACGTTGATGATTGCGCGTTCGGAGCCGACGATCATATCCTTGCACGGCAAACACGAGACTTTCTCCGTTTCTACGTTTATTACCGAATCGTTCGCGCAACGTTTACGACTCTCTAAAATAAATCGTTCGATTTTCGTCACCGGCATCAGCGAGATGCAATCCGTTGTCCGTCACGCCGCTCATCTTACAATTACGCCGGCGAATCGCGACGAACCCGCTTATTCAACGACCGCACTCATTCTTCGATCGTTGACAAAATATGTACCGAAGCGAATAAGCACGACGGGTACGGAGACCAATTAATCACGCTTCTCGCTAAAGGAGGCTTTCGCCTACGAAAGTGGGCAAGTAATTGTCCAGATCTTTTGTCAGACCTCGATCCTGCCGATCATGGACTCGCCACTCACAAAGTCCTCCAAGACGATGAACACCTTAAAGTGTTAGGAGTTAGTTGGAATCCAAAGCTCGATGCGTTTCAACTTCGCGTATCTCTCCCGTCTTTGCCGGGAAAAACGAAAAGAGCTATTCTCTCGACAATCGCTGGGTTTTTCGATCCGATGGGATGGGCCGCTCCCGTCATCATCGGTGCAAAAATCTTTATGCAACAATTGTGGTCGCTCCAATGTCAGTGGGACGATGACATTCCGGGTGAACATTTCGACCACTGGGCAACTTATCATCACCAACTACCACATCTCGAGACGCTCAGTATTCCGCGTTGGACGACGCACGGATCTCATACTCTGCACAGCGCACTCCATGGCTTTTCCGATGCCTCAACTATGGCCTTCGCAGCTGTTGTTTACCTTCGCGTTATTAATGTCGACGGCTCAATTAACATCTCTCTTCTCATCACAAAATCGAAAGTGGCTCCTCTCAAGACGATCAGCGTTCCCCGATTGGAATTGTCGGCGGCGCTCCTTCTCGCTCGGTTAGTTAATTATGTGCGGTCCGCTCTTCAACTTCCGAGTATCGAATGTCACTGTTGGACCGACTCAACCATCACACTCGCTTGGCTAAGTCAGTCTCCATCTCGATGGAAAACTTTCGTTGCCAATCGCGTTTCGATCATTCAGTCCTTGCTGCCTGAAATTTCTTGGCGTCATGTTCCAACGCAGGACAATCCTGCCGATTGTGCTTCTCGCGATCTAGCTCCCCATGCTCTCGCAAATTATAATTTATGGTGGTCAGGCCCTTCATGGCTTGGCCAATCTCCAGAGTCCTGGCCGACTTTCGAGCTCTCGATACCAGCCGAGACCGCCCTTGAACAGCGTTCTCAACCACCTATTCACTCTTTACATGTAACCCCTAGTTGGGATCTCGCATCACGTTATTCTTCGTGGCCTCGATTGCTCCGAATTACCGCTTATCTTTACCGTTTTCTTTATCGACTCCGATCCTCTAAAAGCGCATCGTCTTCACAAGCGATCCTCCTTCCCGAAGAAATCCAGAAAGCCAAACATTACTGGCTCCGAATTATGCAATCTGAGATGTTTTCCGTTGAAATCTCGACTTTACAACGGCAACTTCCGTTACAAAAAACTAGTTCCTTATCCACACTCAATCCTTATTTTGACGCTGACGGACTTCTTCGCATCAGAGGACGGCTCCGTCATGCTTGCCTTTCAGAAACGACGAAGAATCCGCTCGTATTACGAGCACATTTATTGCTAGTTCTTATTATTCAGCATCATCATCTCAGAACGTTACATGCTGGTCCCCAATTAACACTCGCTTCATTACGTAATGAATTTTGGATCCTCCGATCTCGCGCTACCGTTCGTGCTGTTCTGTATCAGTGCGTACAATGCACTCGTGAGCGCGCTAAAAAACCTGTCGAACTCATGGGCGATCTACCGGAGGCGAGAGTTAACCGTGCCGCTCGCGCATTTATACATACTGGCGTTGATTACGCTGGACCAATCACTGTCCGAACCGCGCCCGGCCGAGGACACAAATCGCAAAAGGCTTACATTGCACTGTTCATATGTTTAACGACCAAGGCTATACATTTAGAACTTGTCTTCTTGCTCGTTTTTACGATACGTTATTAGTATGGCTTTAGCACCATATGCGGTAGTAAAATTTATAATTATCTTGTTAAAGATAATCGAGCTCAAATTAATTTTATCATCGTTTAAGTAGCTCAACATCGTTTCCATGTTTTCTTGAAATTTTTGCCACGATTCCATGTCAAAGCAAATCCCTGCAGCTCTGTGAGATGTTAATTTAACAGCAAGCAGAAAATCCAGTTCGACGTTGTCTTCCGTCATAAGACCCACTTGAATTTTCTTCGTGTAGGATAAATTCAATCCGTATGTTGATAACAACATGCGCGGTTGTTGCTCGATTTTCTTAAGATTGTTTATGGTAGTTGTTATCATGTAGAAAATCAAAGATTTAATAATCAAAGACGCGGTAAAATCGAAAAATTGAGAATTTTTTACTAACAAACTTTTTTTACTAATTATCTTTTTACTAACAAACTTGAAAGTTCGGACGATGAAAGACGAGTAAGCGAAGATTTTCAAGAAAATTTATAAGAAGGAAGATAAAATAGAAAAGTGGTAGGGAGAAAAAGCATGCGCAGAATAATAAAAATTATGTGGAAGAGGAATTTTTTAAACAATATAAATGATATAATTTTTAAAGTGAAAGAGAAATTTTTTAAACAATAAAGTGATAGGGAGAAAATGCATGCGTAGTATAATAAAAATTATGTGGAAGGGGAATTTTTTAAACAATATAAACAATATAATTTTTAATGTGGAAGGGGAATTTTTTAAACAATATAAATGATATAATTTTTAAATCTGACTACAGAGAAAATATAAAATTCCTATCGCTATCGAGAAACGATACCTGTAAATTCTTCATCTTGATTTCCATAAACTTTTTGTAGATAAGTAAATATATATATATATATATAGCCGTGTGTATTCTTATCCATGTTTTTATATATATATATATATATATATATATATATATATATATATATAAAACATGGATAAGAATACACGGATATGAGAAAAAAGATTAAAAAAATAAATAAAATAAAATAAAATCGAGAAAAGATACCTGAAAATTTCACATCTTGATTTCTATAAACTTTTTGTAACGGAGTATATATAAATAACGCCCTAGATGAAATATTTTTTGTATCTACGTAAACATTACCATATATATATATATATATATATATATATATATATATATAAAACATAGATAAGAATACACGGCTATGAGAAAAAAGATAAAAAATAAAATAAAATAAAATAAAATTGAGAAAAGATACCTAAAAATTCCTCATCTTAATTTTCATAAACTTTTTATGGCTAAGTAAATATCGCCCTAGATTAAATATTTTCTGTATCTAAGTAAATATTACCATAAATATATATATATATATATATATATATATATATATATATATATAATATATAAAACTCGGGTAAGAATACACGGCTATGAGAAAAAAGATAAAAAAAATAAATAAAATAAAATAAAATCAAGAAAAGATACCTAAAAATTCCTTATCTTGATTTTCATAAACTCGTATAAATACGGCTCTCGGAGTTAAGTTAGTTAATTACATTTTTGAATTTCGTCT